AGTTCCCCTATGGTGATTGGTTTGTCCAAGTCCTACGTTTGTTTTTGGGTGACCGTTCTCTCTAGGTAGATTATCATGTGCAGGCGGGCGATGATGTTCGCTGGGGGGGGGGGGGGGGGGTTGGACTCGTAGAGGTCGGCGTAAAAGGACCTGGCTATTCTTACCATGTTTGCGCTGATTGACTTTGGTCCTTCAGCCCCTCGATTGTGTTATTCCTTGCGTTGGCCTTGATCTTGGAGGGTGTAGTCATTCATACGGGTGCGTATTTGTAGGCCTTTGAGTTCCCATCTTCTCCATTCATTTAGTTCGTCTTTGGTTGATTGGAGTAGGTCGTGGTAGGAGGAGTTAGAGGGATCAGATGCTAGGTTGGTTTCTACGATGTCGAGTACGATTTGTAGTTCCTCCTTCCTGTGTTTGCGGTCTGCTGCTATGCTTCTAGACTCTGCTGAGACCGTCTGAGACAGGTCCATATAGTTGTCTATGAACCATTTGTGCCTGTCCTGGTGTTTCTTCTCGTCTTGCTGTATGAACGACCAGTTCCATCTGACTGCCTCGGTCATGCGTTCAGTGGAGAGGAGTGAGTTGTTGAGTCTAAAGAAGCCTTGTCCTTTTTCTACCGAGGAGTTGAAGTTTTTGGTTTGTGGTCGAGCCCCTTAAAGTCTGCTGCTGTAGGATACTGGCCTCCTTAATTGCTCCCTGTAGAATGTCTGAAATTAGGAAGAAATCGATTCGTGATATTTATGTGTGGTTAGATCGGTTCCTCTTGACTAGGGAGAAGACTTTCGTGCGTGGGTGGAGGATTCAGAATGGGTCGACCAAGTTGAACTCTGTCATGATGTTCCGTATGTGTGTGCTCGCTCGTGTGGGCCCCAACAACACTGCCCGGGAAATGCGATCCAGGCTGGGGTCCATCGTAGTGTTCCAGTCACCTGCTATAATTAGCGGCATCGGCGGCGGGAGAAATGATTTCATGTGGTCGAAGAAAGCTAGGCGTTCAACTTCCGTGTTGGGGGCGTATAGGTTTAGGATTCTGATCTCTTCCCCTTGCCATGTAATTTGGATCCATGACCATCTTCCTTCCGCTGTGTCTCCTTCGCCAGTACTTACCAGACCCTCAGACCAGATTTTGGAAGTAGTTGGTATGAGGATTGTTGTGTCGCGGATGCTTTGGTTCGCTTTTTTGGACCACAGTGAGAAAGGGCATCCCCCTAGGCTTTTCTCCGCTGTCCTCTTTATTCTGGTGTGGTTAGTGAGGTTGGATTGGTGGGTCTCTTGTAGGAGAATGATGTCGGGTGTGGGCTTTCCTTTTTTCTGTGAGGCCGAGTCTGATGTCTCGTAGTTTGTCATATGCGTCGAGAATGTTGACCAGGGCGTTGACGTTCCAGCTGTGGATCGTCAGACCCCTTGGTTTGCCAGTCCATTCTCACTGTCCCATACTGATTTTTGTTGTTGTCCATTTGATT